ATATTACTAGCTGCTAACGTTTCCGGTGTAAATAAATCTTTTGATGACAGCCTTCCGATGAGCCATGCTGATACAATCCCTATCATTATACTTTCGTGTGCAGTAAAAACCCAGCAGACTCTGATGGAAATTCGCCAACCTGTGCTCTGCAAAAATGCGCTCGACAAAAAACCGTTGTTTTTTTAAATTATTTTTTTTAAAACAACCAGCACTTTGCCGGGGGATAGTTTTTGCTGTGCACACTGTGGTCACACTGTGGTCACCCTCTCATCTCGTCTGCCGTCAGGTTCTCCTTCGCCACGGGCCACTTCAGCCAGGTCGTGTGGGGCGACACCAACCTGGTGGGCTGCGGCCGGGCGCGCTACGAAGAGAACGGCCTGCCCACGCAGCTGCTCGTCTGCAACTACGGCCCGGGAGGCAACGTGGAGACCGAGCCGCTGTACCGCGCGGGCGCGCCGTGCTCGGGCTGCGGCTCGGGCTGCTCCGCCACCTACCCGTCGCTGTGCGCGCCCGGCGCCCAGGGCTCCCCGCAGGGCTCCCCGCAGCAGGGCACCCAGGTGAGCGGTCAGCAGGCTGCAGCCGCCACGAGGTTCTTTGGCCAGCGCCCCGCTCAGGCGCTCTTCTCAAGATATTTCGCTGCTCCTGCTGCTGCTGCTGCTGCTGCCCAGACTGCACCCCCAGCACTACCTTCCCCGCCCCCCGCTGCCAAACCCTACGCCTTCGCGAGGTTCTTTGCACAACCCCGCAGCTCCGCTAATGTACAGTCCCCTGCACAAGCCGCTGCTCCAAGCACTGCACAACCCTCTGCACACCCCCTCTCCCTCGCACAACCCCCCGCACAACCCCTACAGCTCAGCTGGAGGCACTCGACGTGGCTGGACGCGAGCCAGCTGCTGGCCAGGACGGCGCGGTCGTCCCGGGGCCGGCGGTGACTCCGCGCCGCCGTGCCGCCCCCCGGGGCGCCGGAGGCTGGCGGCCACCTTGGCCGCCCTCGTTGTGCACGGAACTCACGGTGTGTTGCCCAACAGGCTGCTGTGGCGCCCCTCGCCCTGCAGTTGTCCACTACCACCCCCGCGCCAGCCCCCGCCCCCACCACCGCCCCCGGCCCCGTCCTCGGGCTGAGGTCGTTCTTCGCCAACCCCACCGAGAACGCCATCCTGCCGTCCTCGGTCAGCCCGGGCTTCTTCTTCGCCGGCTCCACCGCGAAGCCGTTCTCCACGTCCAAGCCCTTCCCCTCGCTCAAGCCCTTCCCCGCGGCCAAGCCCTTCTCGACGACACCCAGGCCAACGACTACGACACCGAGGCCCGCCCCTACCACGGCTCGTGCCGCCCCGCGCCCGGTGACGGCCGCGAGGGCACTCAGCACCACGAGGAGGCCGGTCGCGACCACCGCGAAGCCCACCACCGTCAAGCCCACCACGGCCAGGCCCACCACGGCCAGGCCCACCACGGCCAGGCCCACCACAGGTCAGTACCACCACCATCATCCCCGTGTTGCACCCGCACAAAGAGGTACCTTTGAACGGAATTTTGACTTTGAATTATTTCTAACCAACGTCAAAATCCGTTTAATTGAAGAAGTCAAAATTCTGTTGATCCTCTATTATCGGAAATACAGTTGAATCAAAGGAATCAGTGCTTCGCTCGTACCCTGTCTCTGTGTGTGGTGCTTGTACTTGTTTGTCCACGCTCGCCTCACGCACCCCTCTCCGCCCGCAGCTCCTCTGTCTGCTCGAGCGTTCGCCTCCACCACGCCGTCGCCGCGCATCGCCTCCTCCACCGCCGCCCCCGAGGAGGCCGACTGCCCCGTCCCCAAGACCGTGGGCGCAGCTTGCAAGGTACGTCCCGCCTGCGCGCCACCGACACCATAGAAACTCCGGCGTAAGTTGGCGTTTTGCAGCCATACTACACAAAGGCATCGAGTTGAATGATACGATATGAAAATGGGGAGATAGCACCGGCGCGTCTGGTGGGTGGCTCTTGACAGCCACTCACGGGCAGCGTCGTTCGCCGTGTGAATGCAACCAGATGATGGTGATGTTGATGATGACGTAAAACTTTGCCAGACACGCATTGTGTGTGCAGTACCCGCACCCGGGCGGAGGGCACTGACGCATTTCTCATTTCGTCCTAGCCTCTCTCTCTCTCTCTCTTCCTCTCTCTCTCTCTCTCTCTCT